TCTGCTTTATCAACATCACAGCTGGAATTAAACCTGCACTGTGAACATAAAGCGCAGATTCAAATAATCCACAATAAACAAATATAAGTTTTAAAGAAAATTATATTCATGACAGTAAATATAATAATACATCAATTCTTTTAAGTGTTGTTTGATTACAAGTTTCCCCTAAAGTTTCCTCCCTTGGCTGAGATAGAGCCTGGAAGCTAGCACAAAAATGTGTTTAGAAACCTATAATTTAAAAAAAAAAAGCAGTATGTAAGTCCTAACTGTAATAAATAATGCTGATGGACTACCACTACATACATGAGCAATTCTAAAGTTTTTTACACTGTGAATTCAGATTGTGGCACTGAGCCCTCCCTACTCCTGAGAAACTGATTGCGGCCACGCGTGACCTCCCCAGATCCGATAAAGACCAGACCAAAGGTCTGATCCTCCCCGCTCACAGACAGGGAGCAGCGCTTGGCCTGATGGCTGCTCCTCTTACAAGCACCTGAGTGACTTTCCCCATGTGCCCTTCTTTTATGACTCTACAGAAACCATCAAGAGGAGGTCAGTCTAAGGAACAGGGACGATTCAGTGGCTGATGCATCAAGGAACTCAGACCACATAGTAAGTCCAGGTCAAAAGATCCCAAATAAGAAAAGGTGTATTCTCATTCTGGCGGAAGTCAAACAAAAGAAAAGCCAGGAAGCTCATCAATAAAAGTGGATGTTCAGCATTCCTACTTTGAAAAGGCTGAACCTCTAGTTCTTTTTCAGAAATTGTGTCTTGCACAAACAAGTTACAGTAAAGTACGGAAGTAACTGCCTCAATACAAAACCATACGGCCTATTCCAGAAGCAGAGTTTATAATCTTAGCCATATACTCCATTTAGTGTGCTTGAAATCTAAAATTAATATTTAATTATACAGAAATATACATTAAAATGTAAGGAAATTACTGAAAAGTTTGCAGACTTTTGTCTGTTAAGACAGGAAGGAAGTTATAGGAATGATTTAACCTGCTGGCTCACAAGGTTAGTGTTTTATCAGGATATTAATGATAGCAAAGATTTTTAGCGAACATTAAATCACAAATTGTGTTTTATACACAGTTTTTAGCACTTGACCACAGAGAAAAACTAAACTTAGGCCAAAAATGGATCAAAATTCACAAGTGAAAAATTATCCTTACAGCTCTGAAGTTTTGAGGGTGCTTCCTGCCAGGTTATTAACTTATAAATAAGATCCAGGTGTTTTTTTAAACAAGCAAAAGGCCAGGTAGGTAAAAATCACTGTTTCCTAGCTTTCTACCCTGTTAGCTCTACATCAGCGTAGAAAAGAATAAATAATGAATAGTTTATGGGAATACAGGCAAATATCCCAAACAGCTTAGAATTACATAAAACTGTATCTTGGGATCATTCTGAGACAGGTATTATTTCCAATCAAAATGCAGTTTGTGTTCTACAGTCTGTCCAAATTAGCAAATTATCCAGATTTTAAAGATTTTTTTTTTAAAGGTACCATAGAAAAGAAAAAACTACCTAGTTACACAAATAAATTATTAATAGAGAGATTAAAACTTGAGGATTAATAGAATGTAAAATCTCCACAGTAATACCCGATGTACGAACTCCCAGCCTCCTTTACAGGCAAGTAGAATAAACTGTCTCACATTTACCTTATGTAGGATAACATTACACACGGGTAATAACTAAGGCATTTTTATCTTGTTCGCTGGCAACATTTTGCACAGTTATTATCTTGGGTTAGAACACAGATCTGTTACCTGCCCAGTTATTGTCTAAAAACTACCATGGCTGTAATTACCAAGGTGCTCCCCTGATGTAAGAACATACATTTATGTTAGAAGATACACACGCAGCCTGACTGCATACACTCCTGTGGAGCGGGTGAGGAAACAATGCTACCCTAAGCAGATCTGCTCTATAATCACAAATTCCTTATGGTTGCCACAAGAACCTACATACATATTCTGAAGTTCAGCTGGACATTACTAATGCTCTTTCAGATTATTTTTGTTCAAGAAGGGGAACACAGGAAGGACTGGTTGTATGGCATTGCACTGAGGGAAGAGTGGCACTTGGCCTCTGCTGCTGAACAAGGCATCTTTAAAGACCATCCACAATTACCTGGGCTGTTTCTGGAGAGAACGGGTGGTTAGCACCTATAAAAACCACTTTTTTGGGGTCTGAACTTGAATTGTGTGGTAACCATGCAACAGACCACCCAAGGGTTTGCGACTGACCAGAGGGTCACACAGCAGCAGAGGGAACAGCAAGAGAATTGCAGTCTGCTTGAATCCCTCTCACAGAGCAAAGAAAAGCCAGCACTGGGGGCATCAAATACAGAACGGGGACATGGGAACCCTGGAGAGCATCAACCAAATCTCAAAGAACACGCCAAAGAAGGGAGATTCAGGGAACACTCTGCAGCATAGTTTGTTTTGCACTGACCAGCAATCTCCAGCATCACCTGGAAAACTCCTTTTAAAATTCCCCCCACAACTAGCTATGTGGTGTTGGGACTGTCAGCTCTCTCATGCCTCCAAGAGTTAAGTGTTCCTAGCAGATGGGACTCCAGAGAACTTTAAACAGATGCAGAGAGTCAGCAGTGATGTTAAGGTCCAGTACAGTGGTTCCCAAGGTGCAGGCTCAGTGAGCGAGCCCAGAGAGGCAGCACCCAGAACGCCAAGGTGTTTAGAGCACTCACATACAGGTGGACACAAACACAGCTAGCTGGTGTATTGCAGAGAAGGGACGAATCAGGGTCATAGCACCACTAACTAGCATAAAAGAGGAGAACTTATTAAATGAAATTCAACCACGGCACTGAAAAGAGGGGTGGAGTTGTTACCCACTCAGAGTCTGCATGCTTCCCCTGCCCACTGCTAGGCCACTGCTCTGAGAGCAGGGTTCAGGTGAAGCAACTAAAAAAATATTCCTGGACCATTTGATCTTCAGTGTGTTACGTACCTGGATGCAAAAGTGCTTTTAAAACACACCAGGTTTCAAGAAGACATGTGCTACCTTCCCCCTTTTGGTACCTCCAGAATCCCCATCTCAACGTTATCACTAATCTAGCCTGACTCTGAATTGGGACAAGTTTTTCCTAGGTCCACTGTAGTATTGTTACACAACACAATTAGGTCTCCTCTGCCTGCAACCTACAATTATCCCTTTTCTGTGAGTGCAGTGCCACAGATAGACTCAGTGCCAATCAAATAAATCCTCCTTCCCACCAACTCACTTTTCTCCTCTCTTGAAAGCCCCCCTATTTCTAGTGAGAATGTTTTTATAGCATGTAAGAACTGCAGCACCTCACCCTCTTTCCAACGACCCCAACGAAACACTAGTTATTCAGTGTGCTGAAAGCTATGCTGAATGCACTGCACTGGAGAAGTGCTGCCTTGATGCTTGCCTTTGTTTAAATGAGAAAGCAAATTAACCAATTCCCAGCTTTCTGATTCCAAGATTTCCCACACTTTCCACAGCCAGCACTCCTCAGACTTACCAGCAAGTAATAAATTTGGTTGTTTGGGGTTTTTTTAGCAAGTGCTTCTTACAACATTGATTATCCATTTGTAAATGCACAAGCCCAAAGAATGATGCTGGGGATACTGATATACAGATCATGATAAGAAGCGATCCAGAAACATAAAAAGAAACAAGCACAGTGTCTTTTAGATTCTGTAGCCTCCAGGAATGACACTTCAGTTAGTTTTCTTTATTTATATATATACATGTGTATGTTTCTTTATTTATACATATACATGTATATGTATCTTTATTTATACATATACATGTATATGTATCTTTATTTATACATATACCTATTTTTATTGGCAGCATAGACAACTCCAAGAAAAGCCTAACCACCACTGATGAAGGATCTGTATTTCAATGCAGTTCAAAGTAAGTACAGCAGAATACATTTCTAAATACAACAGGCTGCATAAATGTAGGACAAAAATTAATTCAACACGTAAAACAAGTGTTTAACTCTACACTCTGGTAAACCAGTTTAGCTACAACTACTTCCAAATTCCCTGTGTAAACTTGCTTCTTAAACAGTTATGGAACACACAGTCAGTATAAGAACAACTCTCAATTCTTGCCTAAATCTGCCTAGATTCTTGAAAATGAAAATTTCCACCTTTATTCTTCCAATGTATTATTCATGAAATGCAATTTAATCTCCTTTATCTAGCAACAGCGTTAATTTATTGGTCTGCACCTGACCAGAAGCAATTAACACCCACATGCAGTTCTGCTCACACTGACAACCTGTGTCACTAAATCACGTTCTACAACTCTGCATGTGAACATTGAACATGCAAGTAATCAACATGACGGCTCACTGGGGAAAATAAAACTCCCTGCGTGGAATTTTGCCTATTGTGGCACTGTAAGAACTGCAACAAGTTGTTTTCACAAAGGAACTATACTGGGTTTTTTCTTATTTCTCTGAAAGCTGAATGTGGTGTTTATACTGTTATCAAATTAAATTCTCCCTTTCTCAGAGCAACTCCTAGCTTTGACCACATTCCAACAGCTGTGAATTTTGTATTATTATGTTACATGCAATAACACTGTACTTTCTTAGCAAATCACAATATATGCCAACACAGCTGTCGCTATAGCGCTGCAATGCATCTTCTGACGTATTTTAGAAGTGCAGCATCCTGAGGAAAAAGGGAGTGGGGGACTTGAAACTGGTTTTGTATTACAATTAGCAGACTAAAAATAAAAAGTAAAAACTGCTAAATCCAAAACAGGATACTCTTCAGGAACTTGCAAAAAACGTTAGGTGATTTTTAAGAAGTACTACAGTGAAATATTTTCATGTTCATTTCCTGCTGTACAAGTAAAGCAGAGAAGCAGAGCTTTTTCTTAAGTACTGAAATTGAGCTAATAATTCAATTGTCAATACCTCAAATCAAAACACGTTTCCAGCACGTCTGCAGAAGTATAACTTACTACTTGTGTAACTAGGAGCACAGTTTTACAGTACAGCGACCACTGAAGAGGGAACCATCCCCGTCTGTCTGTCCAGCAGCTCAGCAGTATGTTCTTGCCACTTCCTCTAGCCTAGCTGTTCTGTTCCTACAGAGGGGGAAAAAACAAAACAAAAAAACCCCAGACTTTAAAAATATGCTTATCCTACTAAAAAATAGCTTTTTGCCCATTTAGTTCCATGAATCAGCTCACCGGCAGGTCAGATGAGCACCAGTGCTGACTTCAGGGAGGGGTGGGAGCACAGGGGCAGGAAGCGAGCAGCGCTGCCCGATTTCAGTGACAGCTGCTCACTGAACCAGATTAGCTACGCCATAAAAATCACACCCTTCATTACATTTACTCCTGTGTTTATATTCAAGGTCATATAAGAATATTTATAGAAAAAAAAAATTTTACACAGCTATCGTTAGTCATTTTTACATAACTAGCAGAAAGGAATTTAAAGTTCCCAGGACGTTCCCAAAAGCAGCTGTGCCCTCCTGTAAATACACAAGCCCTGCTGAAAAAAAACTGTTAAATTCATGAACTACATGGATACTTCATAACAGAGCAAAATTGGGCCCCAAAAACCCCCAAACCTCAATCAGCTCACAAGATTGCAAAGTGACTGGCAGATTATGTCAATTCTAGAGAAAGAAAAAGGATTTGGGGGTTGAAAGTCCACTGCAGAGGGTTCACAGGAAGCCAGGCTCCACCAGAGCTCCAGCCCTACAGCTCTCTGGACTGTCAAACCAAGGGGGCACGTTGCCCACACCTGCCGGTGTGAGCGCTGCCCAGTGCCGAGGCAGGGTGCACCTCAGAGGCACAGCCTTAGCCTACAAGATGTGCCCGCTTGTTTTTGCGCCTCGCAAACAGAACTGCCGATGCTCCTCTGGCCCAACAGGAGGGAAGAGGCTCACACACCCCGCAAGGCTTACCCTCCCTTCTGACGGCGGACAGAAATAAATCAGGCCAGTAACCTACAAGTTATAAATCCCCAGAAGCAGTCTTTGCCTCTGTTTTTCTCCTGTCTTCTAATAAACCACACAGGACCTACATACACTAGTATATGCACTACACACAGAATAAGCAGGACACTAAGAACTAGCACAATTAAAATATCAGGATTGATTCACTGGCTTTATCTGTGATAAAAATTTTTAAAGCATTTCCACCTCAAAACCCAGTTTCTGATTAAAATGTACTAGTAATGATTATGCATATTTCTCACATCTTTTGTCATTTACTGTAGTTTATTCCAATAAATGTGTATCTCACAAATATATAAATGTTTGTTTCCTTGGCATTGAAACGACGGGCACCTTCATGGCAGCAGGCTGAAACCACCAGCAAAGGAGGAGCAGAAGATCAGGCAGAAAATGTCAGGAAGTGAGAAAGTTTTGATAACCATACCCCAGCTTCCTTTCAAATGAGGAAATTGAAACCGAAATTCAGTCCTGCTACTGGATTTATTTTATTTTTTTTTTGATTCAGTGGCACATAAACTCAGTGGCAGTAACAGATGAAAACATGCAGACACACAGAAAAGCCCCAGTACAAAGTTCATCCTCTCTCAACTTGACCCAATCTATTTTTTCCCCCCACAGACTAAGTTTGTGCTTGTTTCAGCAAGCAGGTCCTGCCTCAAATACCATAACAGATGGACTCAGGTTGACATGAGACAGATGCTAAGAATATGTGGCATTTAAATGAACAGAGTTTTATTGCCCATTCCCATTAATTTCAGCTGACTTTGAATAAACCTCAGTGAGCCGAGTCTGTCTGAACCCACCTTTGACAGCTCCTTCCCAGCTGCACTCATTACCCAGCCCTTCCATGTGCTTTGTCATTCTATTGGCATCCTTGTTTTGGTTACTTGGATGGAAAATGGTATCCAAGTAAGAATTAGTCACTGCTAGGTGGTTTGATCATCAACTAGTTCCTTAAAATGGAATGTATGCCCCAGTGTGAATGTATTGTATTTTTATATAAATAAATAAAGCAGAAAATGTCACAGATTCACCATTAAGTAAATAATGACTAAACCCCAGGCTATATTACAAATGAAAAGCATCTTACTGAAATATTTTATTCAACTCATTGAAATGCTAACTAATCATTATGAGTCATAACAAGACTTCAGAGTGAAAAGTAACAAATTAAAAACAAAGTCACATGTAAACTATTTCTACATTTATCTACCTATAAAACACTTAGTATATTGCCTCCTTCCTTGAAATAAAGCATGTACTCTTAAGACCTTACAACTTAATCAAAGCCCTTTTAAAACGTTTTCATATTGATTATATTACAAAGGTATGCTTGTAGCTTTATAACCAGCCGTTTACAAGGCAGCATTATATATTTAAAAAAAAATAAAATTATCGCTATACTTGCTAAGCATCTCAGAAAAACACATTCCTTCTGTTGTGTGCTGAATGACAACTCACATGTCAAACAGTATTTGTTTCTGTGTCAAACAGAAGATGGAACAAAGCCCCATCACTACTCTTAAGCAAACAGTGATGCACAAAACAGGAGAACAAGCCTGAAAATTATCTCGTTCAATTACCTTTACCAGAAGGCCCTGCAAGCTACCTGAGCAGAGCAAACGTATATATGCTACAGTGAACACAGACGTACAGCACTGGGGCACTTCAAGGAGAAGTTGCCAGCAAGAGCCAGCCGCATTCAAAGAAACTTGTCACCTTTCTCCTTACAGCCTTGCTAATCTGTGCTATTTCTGGTTTTAGCTAGAATGCGTTACTTAGTTTTATGCCCAGAAACAGAAGTTAAACACACCCTGTTTGTTCCTTCTCTTCTCTCTAATTACAGACCAGAAGCTACTTTTAATGCTGGAATGAGGATTCCAGAAGACCTGTTAAAGAGAGGTATATTTTGGCCATTAGCTGTGAAGGAAGCTCTTAGAAAGTGGTAGCTCGGCCCTGCCTCACATGAGAGCCAGCTTTGACTTTATTTCATCTTTAAAGCCCCAGCAGACCTGAAGCCTCTGAACTGCAGGGCCTGTGCTCTAAAACTTAAACCAGCAGCCTGATTGCCACAGAAGAGGGGGTTTATTTGATTTTTATTGCTGCTGAGAACAGGCTACACAGAATGAGTAGGTTTGAAGGTTCCATTCTGACACAAACTCATGTCGTAACTCCAAGCTACTGAGGTAAAGCAATGCCTTCATTTAGAAAAGGAACAGCGGCCCCATGTTCCACTTAAATTTTGCCATTTATCTTTCAGTAACCTAGACAAAATTATTTCACCTTTTACACCTTAATTTTACAAACTCTGAAGATATAACACTTATCAGTAGCAACCTACACATGATATGCAGAAAATATTATTACAGTATGTTTATGCCACAAGACGGAGCCTGGATCCTGAAGATAGGATGGCATAAAACGCAAAAGGCAAGCAACAGCAACAGTTATTTAAAGTGATTTGCAAGTCTATGGAGATAACAGTGATAATCTTTTTTATTATGAGATAAAAGTTTTATAAAACTCCTATTTTTTACAGACAGCATTTTTTCCAGGTGAAGATGTTGTGGCTTTTTAAATAAGAGTATGAGGAAATCCCAGACCTATGTTTTTACCGTTTTCAAGATGTAAAATATAAAATATGTTTTCCAGCAAACACAAGACATTGACTGTTCATGAAGTCTACCATAATGATTTAAGGAAGAAGTTGCACTTCCTTATTTTAATAGATGATCTAACTGCACAGTGGTTACGAACTATTTCATGCTGTAACATCCTGTCAGCTTAGCAAATACTCATCTTGAAACTTTTCAGATGCTAATATAATAGATTATCTCCCTATTTATGCAGTTTTGGGGGTTAGCTCCTCAAATAGTGCTTCCCAGAGACTGCATTTAAGAATCAGAATACTGACTGAGCTCTAGAGAAGGAAAGAGCAATCTTTGGCTCGGCCAGCTCCCAGTTTTCATCTTAAAAGCCTTACTGGTTTTAAGTAAGGTCTGTAACTCCACTTTAAGAATGTCTAAATCTTTGGAACCGCTTCTGAACACAGATGCTTCTCACACAGAGCATCAAATCCAGCCCCAAAGACAACCAGAAACATGAGAGCAGCAGTGTCAGCAACCAACGCACACTCACTGCTAGTGAATTCAGATCCTCACACCTTGGCAAGTCAAAGCAGCACTGAAGCAGACAACTCTGTAACCTAGAGGACAGCACCAATTCCATTGGCTATCTGCTCTTACACAACTCTATTCCCTGGTTAATTCCTTATGATAATAAAACAATCTCTGCTTTGCATACAAAAAAGTATTTCTAGGTAGAAAAAGTCTCAAATGACACTTTCAATACAAAAGCCCCGCAGATGCTTAGTGCATTTTGACTACTACATTTTATTAATCCGAAACACCAGGCAAATCCCGGTAGACAGGATCCTTTCCCAGAATGACAAAACATAACTTCAACACAAGCCATGAGACTGAGGGAGCAATCACTGGGTGAAGTATTTCAGCTTACATTTTACAGCCTTCATAATAAATTAAAATCAGAGCAGGCCCTTTTGATAAATTCTGTAATGCTAAATGCAAATCAAAGATGTAACCCAAGAATAAATCTAAGAATTCGGAGATTTATTTTGTAATTCCACGAGGGATATTGTCTTTTTCTTTTTTTAATCTAAGAGCAAAAGGCAATTACACAAACATCCACATTAACAGAAGACAATGATCATCTGTCTCTAGGCTAACACCTAAACTAATTAGTTCTCAACCAGCACCTGCTCTTTCACTTAGTGCAAACCATGAGAACATAAATATCCACATACATTAGGGAATGAAGTATCTTCTTTGTTTACTCTTAATGGCGTTGACATTAGCTTCATTAAGAAAAAAATTAAGAAGTTTAATGGCTGCTTTACAAGAACACCCAATGAGCCCAATTGCTGTTACTAATGGCTTCTGGAAGCATAAATAACATGCTATAATGGCCATTAGAAATCAGTATTGGCTTACTGGGTTCAGAGCGGTATTCCACACACACCTCATTTTCCATTCCACATTTCTGGATAAGGGGACACTGTCAGTGTGTCGGTGACTTTGGCAAATACCAGT